ATTACACTGCTCAAGTACAAGAAAGGAGATGGCCTAATTGAAGGGACGGATTGCTCGGTTTGTCTAAGTGAATTTCAAGATGATGAAAGCTTGAGGCTTTTACCAAACTGCAGCCATGCTTTTCATGTAATGTGCATTGATACTTGGTTCAAATCTCACTCGAATTGTCCATTATGCCGTGCAAACATTGCTTTTGCCAATGCTTCTTCTCCTCCTCAATTGCCTCCTGTGATGGAATCTCCACCAGGCAATGAGTCCACATTGCATAGCGATCACGAGATTGAGAATGCTTCTGAAGAAGACTTGGAGATGGGAATCAGAGAAGCAGAATCACAGAATGACATCACGAGAATTTCCACCAGACACGCTACCAATTTGGCCACTTCAGGAGATCACAGCAGACTAAGTGGCGTTACAATTGAAGAATGCGAAAAAATAACAAGATCAGTGTCTATGGATTGCACAAGTCAGAGGCGATTATCGTTAGCTGATGTTTTGCAGATTGATCAGGACGAAGAAGGTCAATCAATGGAAAAGATCACGCTTAGAGATGATGTTGGGACATCAAAACAACCACATGTAGATATGATCAGGTCTAGCAATAGGAATATAGTGTTGCATTGTGTCTCAAGCCCTGCTATTCTGAAGAAACCATTTTCGAGTGCTAGATTTCTTTTCACAAACGCTGGAAGGGAAGGCATGAACTAATTCCCCTGTGAAATTTTGGAAAATACATTATCAAAACGAAAAGAAGAAATGTCATTGAGCAATCAAAGCTCCTATTTTATTATTCTTGTTTTGCTTGTCCTTAAATTTTTGTTTCCTGCACCAGAGAATAATGTTTTTGCCTTGAATTTTTGAGGTCCAAAAAGCAACTAAAGTGAAGAAGCTTGCATGGACAGCACTTGCATGTTTCTCCTTTCTTCTTTACAATTCCACTCTTAGTTTCAATCTATTACTTGGCCATTCTTGGCATTTATTCATCCAGATGAAGAAACCAGCTCTCGTTCAGTGTTTTGTTTTTCGTTCTTATTGGCACATGCAACACCTTACCCTTTATTTATGTTCTTCATCACAAGTGCCATAAATTAATGGTAGGCAATCTGCATTTGCAACTGAAATTTGGACTCTTGAATGTTTCTATTGCTCGTGTTTATAAATCCACCAGTTCTTCTGATATTAGTGTTTGAAGATTAGATTTGGACTGCTTGAACAAAATGAAATACTCAATAGTTTTTAATAATTTCTGATTAGAAGACTAAACCAAGAGTTACTAGTAAATAAATGTTTAATTAATTGCCTTGAGAAAGATTGCTTTGTCCAGCCAAGTAACTTTCTCTGTGTGGGATGTTTTGATGAATATTTGGTAATTATAACAATCTAAAAAGAATATTTAATATATTGGACAAGTAAGCATGGCCTCCTCAAAATCATTATAGCAAGCCAACAAATGGCCCAAAAAGACATTCTTGACGTTTGAGCTAAGTTACATAATCATATCCTCAAAAGAAGAAAAAAGAGAGAAGACCAGAAAAAAAGAAAGAAAAGAAACCGAGAATCATGCCCAACATAAATTCCAGGTTGGGACAAGTTTATGTACTATATTATTCAAACTTCTTCTTTTCGTGCAGTATCATGGATTATGACAAATGAAAAGGAAAGGATAATAGTGCCCTTCAGATTTGGCCTTGCTGCAAAATTGTGCTTAAAACATTAACCCGTTAAACAAAATTCTGCCCTTCTATTAGTGCCCTTTGTTCATTACACAAATACTACTACATATTCTGGCTGATGATCCCATGGCGAATGATTGCCAAACCACGCCTTCATTTATGCACTTGCTGCTTAAAAAAGTTGTTGAGCTTGCTTGCATGACCTCTTGGCGGGGTGCAAGGAGGGTTTTCGGATTCCCCTTCTTACAAATGTTCAATCAAGTTGTTGGTTAAGCCAAAAAAAAAAAAAAAATCCTAACGTGTACTTAAATTACACCTAACCTACCATGTGAATACGTAAAATCATAATTATTGCACTCGTGCATTTAGGCCTTGTTTCATAACCCAGTTCAACACTTAAATTTAATGGATTTATTTGATAACCAAAATTGAATATCTAAATTAATTAAGTGGCATTGAATTTTCTAGGCAAAACTTATTTCCAAAATTAAGTGATAAACTATTCACTTATTACTGAATGTGATGTGCACTCAAATGTATTAGATTTAATATTTAAAAATTTAATAATTTAATAGATTCAAAATTCAGATTCCAGATTCCAGATTTCAAATTTCAGTTTTCAAACTTTACTTTTATCAAACGCACTCTTAAATATTTTTTCAGATTAACTGCTAACTAACATCTAAAACCCCTTTTAACGAACACCCTTAAGCCCCCCCCCCCCCCCCCCCAAAAAAAAAGGTTACCTTGTCAGATTAGTGGATTTGTTGGCCTATGCCACCAGTATTCACACCTAGATTTTGTCATTTTGTCATCCAAAAATATTATGGTGTGTGAGAAATCCACATATAAAACAAAGGGTATAAATATTTTAAACAACTTTTGGGGAGTCAGAATTGTTCGGAAAATTGCGTTTCAAGTGGGGCCTAAACTCTGCTAACTGATTCCTGAACAAAGTGGCGGGAAGGGTGGGCACTGAAGAGTGAAGGCGAAAGGAAACATGACATCGAAGAGGTAAACTAGAGTTAATACAAATTTTTACAAAAAAACAGTAGTCCCAGATCGAAGGCTGTTTACCAAGAACACCTTTATAGATGCTACTGTCCAGCACCGGCAAAACTCGCCAACCAGGAGACTCTTCGAACGCGGTGCAAGGAGGGCTTCCCAATTCCCATGATCGCCTTCTTAGGCTTTTGGCCCGTGGAACTAGTAATTGTTTTTATGGGCTAAAGAAGTGGGCTTTGACAAAGTTCCATTTGTAGTTTTCTTCGCAATGCTTTAAAACTCAATCCGAACCAGCTGGTTGAACCAATTGAACCATCAACTAGCCTCCTTTTTGGTCTGAATTTGCTTAAAAAACCTATTAGTATCAATTTATATCAGTTAAATCGTCCGATTCAACCACTGAATCATTGACTCGAAACGGTTTTGTGAGAACCGATTGGTTCAATATCGAACATTGATTAAGCCAACAATTTTAAATTTGGTTAACTAATCTTATTAATGAAATTCCAAATTTAATATTTTACCAATTATTCATGCATAATTATCTCCAATTAATTAGACAATAATAATTATTGCCTTATTCTACTCATTTCTCTCTCTCCTCCATAATTGCATATTAACTCTTGTTTAACATTTATAACATTTAATTGACTATATTAGTTTTTTTCTCGAGATAACTCCGATGCCTATGTTAGACCATAGGGAGTTCAGGAGTTGAAGGCAAGTATATAAGTTGACAAGTGGATGATTTTTTTGGGGTGTTTGGAAGAGAGATATTTATACCCGCAAACCGTAGTATGAATCTCGAAAAATGAAAAATGAAAAATGATGTGATAGTAATAGGGGTATCGTCGCTCAAACCCTAAATGTGTAATATCTGTAAGATATCAGATTAGGTGTCAGATGCGAGTGTCAGCCACGTGTCAGCGAGAGACAGCTCAGCAAATCCAAGATTGTGTGAGACTTCGATAGCTGCTGCAAGACGAAGAAGGTAACCAAGTGGTCCCACAATATTATTTCTAAACAATTCAACATTCTCCAAAAAAAGTTATATTTAAAAGAGAAGAAGGTATTGTTTCTAAAAGTTTTAATTGAACTTCTCAAGTTCACCACAGTAAATTAGAGGGAAGAGTTCCATTTAGTAACTTATGCATGGAGCCCAAAATTTGTTTGTTTTTTTTTTTATAAAGGCTACCTTGTTTGGATTATGATTTTTCACAAAAAAAATTTTACATTTTCTATTAATACATCTCCTAATCACATTTTTATCTCGCATATATTCGTTTTTCTATAAAAAAAAATATCCAAAAGTAGCAATCGAAACAGGAATAGCAATCGTTAAATTCATGACAACCAATTTGAACTTCAAATTCTGCATATGTGTTATGCATCTTATTGTGATACTATATACACTATAAGTAAATGTAAGATTAATTCAAAAAATAAGTACTTTATTTTTAAGATTTTTTTTTTTTTTTGCACATTGACGGTGCATAAAGTAACGGGTGTTGATGGCTTGAAGAATATCATATATGTAAAGAAATTAAAATTAAAATTTAATTTATAATTAAGTGATATACATTCAAACCTGTCGATGTATATCCTCACTATATACAAGATTTACCTTTGTCTTTATATCAATAGTTTAGCTCATAACATAAAAGGCAATAATTTTGAAGATAATGCCAGTTTCAGTGGTTTTGGTTCTGACTTCTTGTTTCCAATGCAGATTGATCATCTGGTTTTTCTACTGTACTATGCTCTAACAACATAATAAGGCTTAATTTTAAATCTCTGTTTCCACAACTAAACTTGTACAAACTGGTTGAGACATTCATCAACTGTGGTACATTTCACATCAGCAAAAAGCTTCCATCCTTAGACCGCAGAGCCAGTCATACTTGTCATTTTTCTTTTCCCTTTTTTTTTTCTGATCATCCGGTTAATATCTTTTTTACCAACTGAGTTGGGTTTGGGAACACAAATTTCTTCCATTATAGGAGATTTTTGTTTGGCATCTAGAGGTGGTGGATTCATCTGGACATTAGCTTTCTGAAATGGCCTAATTTGGTGCTAAGTCAATGAGCTCAAACTAGACGTTATAGTCTAGGTCCCCCTAAGATTCTTGTTGGATAAACTTTAAATTGTAGAAAGGAAAACCCGTGAAGGCCATTAATGCCAAAAAATTTGCATTCATTCCACTATGTTTCATTCCCCGTGATCCCATAAATTAGCTTTCTTCAATAATCCACCAACCCATCTTTGATTCTGCCATCATATTCAGTATTCACCAACTTCATTTCGTGCACCATAAACATGATATCCCAGTGTTACAAAAAGCCCACATTTTCTTCCTAGCAAATGATCAATTCCTCCGGAAAATCTGTCCATCTATGCAACATGGATAAGTTTTCCTCACTCATGGAAACTCATCTGCTGCTCATCTTAGTATGCATTCCTCTGGGCAGGTCCTTGACGGTGACCGTGCCCGATTCCAGCTCGCCATCAGCCCTAGTCGACGGCCCACAAACTGCATTCACCGTGAACAACAATGGTGCTCGGACAGATATCCGCGAACAAGAAGCAGTTTACGACATCATGCGAGCCACCGGGAATGATTGGGCCACCGATATACCGGACATTTGTCGCGGCCGGTGGCACGGGATCGAGTGCATGCCGGACAAAGACAATGTGTATCATGTAGTGTCCCTTTCCTTCGGTGCGTTGTCTGATGATACTGCATTTCCAACTTGTGACATAGCCAAATCCTTCATTTCACCTTCCATCACAAAACTCCCACACCTGAGGACTTTGTTCTTCTATCGCTGTCTTACTAACAATCCTCAGCCCATCCCATCATTTTTGGGCCGGTTGGGAAAAAGCCTACAGACTCTGGTCCTAAGGGAGAATGGCCTTGTTGGGCCCATCCCAAATGAGTTGGGAAATCTCACCCGTTTGAAAGTGCTTGATCTTCACAAGAATGAGTTAAACGGTTCGATACCCGGTTCACTTGGCCGGATCACCGGTCTAAGGTCGTTGGATTTGAGTGGAAACCAACTCAGCGGTCTGATTCCTGACCTAAGCTTCCCTCAATTGAATGTGCTAGACCTCAACCAAAATCATCTTGTCGGTTCAATTCCCACCACTCTCATGAATTGTCCTTCGCTGATAAAATTGGACATGAGCCGTAATTGCCTATCCGGTCCAATCCCTGAGTCAATCAGCGGTCTAGAGAACCTAATTCTCTTAGACTTGGGCTACAATAGTCTCGCCGGTCCACTTCCAGCGTCCCTGAAAGAATTGAATTTCCTTCAAGCTTTGATACTCAACGGCAACCCGACCATGTCCACCACAATCCCAAGCTCCATATTTGATGGTCTGAAGGACTTAGTGGTTCTAATATTATCCGAAAACAATTTGCAGGGAATAATACCCGAGTCACTCGGCCGGTTGAGAAAGATTCGAGTTATCCATCTTGATGGGAATAAGTTGAATGGTTCAATTCCAGCGAGTTTTGGGGACCTGAATGACCTCAGTGAGCTAAGGCTAGACAATAATTTGTTAATGGGACCTGTCCCATTTAATAGAGACATGGTTTGGAGGATGAGAAGAAAATTGAGGCTCAACAATAACTCCGGTCTATGTTATGATACGAAAAGTGGGCTTGGAGATGATCTTGCTGCACAATCTGATTCGGTCATTGGAATTTGTGAGGCATCCAAATATGGAATGGTAACAAAAACCGTCCGACATATTTCTACTATTGATGGAACAGAGTTGGGGCTGTTAGGTACCAAATCAGCTGGTAGAGTTCAGAAGCCTGCAGTCGCTTGTTTCATGCTGCTACAACTTGCGAATTTTCTTCTGTTTGCTGTTTATGTAATGTGACACTTTGGAGGGGAAAGCTAGGGAGGTGTATAAAGTTAATACCAGCGTTATTAATCTAAATGGTCAGTATATATCTAAATGTTTCTAGAAAATAGGTTTCCACACATTGTAGATTCCAAATTTGATCCCGTAAATATATTGTGATCTTGCATGTAAGCAATTTTCCTCGAGGACTTATATTTGAACAGTGCGAACTGGGAATTTGAAGCCAACAACCCCCTAACGTTTCATATCAGTTTAACAGGAAAAAGAATTATTCTGGACATAGACTAATATTGCTTACTTTACTCTCTACAATATTTGTTTTACCACCGGATTATGGTCTCTTTCCTGATACCTTAGGACTGTTGAAAGGTTTTGCAACGACCCAGAGCCAAATTTTGGCGAAAAGGCAGCAAAAATGTATAATCCCACGAGTTCAATTAAGGGGGGAAGAGAGCTATAATTGCGGTGTTTATTTTTTCAGCATCTGTATTAATCAAAGTACTGTATATTTGCACTTTCAAGATACTCTAAGTAATATATGTTTTCACTTTTATCTTTCCCACACCCTTCGTATCTCTAACTATCAGGTTTAAGATTTGAATTCTGAACCTGAGTTTGGAGAGAACCTTAAAAGTTACAAATCATTAGACCGACTCTAATAATTCTCTATATATATTTCGTCATTCCAAAAGTTAAATATAATGTAAAACACGAGCTTAGCTGTCTACTATAATAAACTATCTTCTGCAGGCCGTGTCAGGCACTCATTCTAGAAGGCCTAAACGATGAACTGTTAATAATCGATTAGCACAAATCTGTAATTACCTTTTCCTTTCGCATGGAAGCTGCCATGAATTTTATGGTCATATCATTTACGCCCTACTCTTTTAGGGTGATTTCTTAAAAAGATGTAGCTCAAGAACAAAATCTTTCAAAGGGCTCCGGAGTTACATTGGGCCGGATTGGATCTCGTCACTCCCAGACCCGCTAGCCCACCATGGACAGGGTAAGCACTTTCAACCTAGGTTGGATGGTGTGTCGGGGCGAAAATGGTAGGGACTCCGGATCTTGGATTGCTCCTGGATCTTGATGGGCAGACGGTTCTTAACCATCCAATGTTTCACACGGTGGCTCCATCCATCAAACAACTACTTTTTAGACTTTTCCCCCATTTGATTGAAGATTTTTTACTTTTATTACTGTACAGTAGAGGTGTGATTCGAACGAATTTGAACGGGTTATAACTGGATATTGGGTATAATCAAATCAACTCATTTATACCCATTGGGTCAAAATGATTACACTCATTTAAGAAATGGGTATGGATATATCTAATTACGCGTTTATGACTCACTTAAAATTCTACTTATTTTTTCAAATTTTTTTCACATGTTGTTAGAGAAAAAATAATGACATTTCATTGTTATTACATTGATAAGAAATTCAAATTTATGTGCTGAACACCCAATAAAAGTTGCTAATTTTATATAACTTACTATTTCAGACGAAAAACTTACCAACGAATTTTTAGTCATTATCCTATATAGGTGGATGAGTCCAACAAATAATGAAAATGATCGCTAAAAATGTGATGACCTATAATATCGGGTAAAAATCGTCTCGTTACTCTGACGATCCTTACCGAAGCATTTTCCCCTAGCTGTCGTCTAGTTAACATCAAAATAGATCATTTAGCCAAATTTAGATTGAGATGAATTTGTTTATATACGTACATCAATTTGTATGAACTTTGTTGAAAATAACATCCAAATCATATTTCTTCATGTTATTAAATTAATTGTACGTTCCGTAAGGTTATTATATTTCAAGGGTTTTTGTTCTATTTTATCCCTCTTAAATATTTGAACCACGAGGATCAGTAAATCTGGTGAGTTTTGTTCGGCAAGTCCTGTTAAGGTATGCACCACATTTGTACCAAGTGCAAGTAGTTATTTTAATTACCACACAAAGTTAAAAAACAAACCATTGCAACAACAACAACAAGAACCTCATCTTGAATCGTGTGAAGGAGAAATGTTCACCTAGTCATCCACTTCGACTGGTTGTGCCAATAGGAACTTACTAACTAGTTACACAATGGATCATGCAGAGTTGCACAAACATGCGATGTGCAGGCTGTAGCCAGCTACATCCAAATGATACTTCATTAACTAAGAAACTTGTAGTTGTACTGCATGGTATATAATTAATGTAGTAATTTAATTAGTGGGATTTGATCAGTTTCTTCGTCCCTCTCTCTCCCTTTCCTTCTGCAATCCTTTGCATGCAAAGGGGTCCATCAACGTCTCTTTCTGCTTCCACAAGATGACATGAACCTTAATGAGGTTACAGAATAATCCCACACTAACCAACAAAACTGAAAGCTAGAGAATCAACGCATTTGCCACTCTCATCGATCCCATAAATTTCTCCGTACCATTTTGCTCTTGCCCTCCATTTTCATCTTTTGTTTTATTTTGAATGAGAGCCGCACCCGGCGCCACCACCGGATGCCGTAATATAACATGCATGGCCGGTGATTGAAACATGTCACAATTTACTTGAACAGAGACAGCGAAATATCACCATTGACAGAAACATGGACAGATGCTGATCTATTATGGTCACGAAAAATTGAATAGATTTACACGAATTAACCTAAGGTGTACAAACAATAGAGAGCTATATATATATGCTATTCTCTCTTCTTCTTCTTTTTTTTTATAATAAAGAGGATTAACAGTAAAACTCTACCTACCTTCTGGTGATTTGAACCCAGAATTGGTTATCAACAAAGTTACACTATTGTAGTCACATATACTATATGCTATATGTTCATGTTACCTGTAGATCACTATGTAAATAGAATAGGTACATTTTTTGCGTAATTTATCAAAAGATTCTGAGAAAATGTGATGCACACGTAAAATGAAATAAGTGTACAATGGGCAGTATAGAGGTTTACTAGATTGTGCTTAGGCCGTCAAACAAGCTTCTAAGGCTGCATAAGCAAACGCATCCACAATGGCGGGCACAGCTCACAAACAAAAAGCAGACCGAAGAGAGAGAGAGAGAGATGGTTACCGGCCGCAATGGCTAAGTCTAGTTCCGATGACTGCAGAAATGGACCACACAAACTCACACTCACATATATAGTAGTATATATACCATCAGCGGCTGTAGATTTATCATCTTTTTGCTGTAATGATACAGGCTAGACACCTTTTAGGCTGGTGTCTCTTGGCCTTTGTTTGCAATAATTCACAGAAAATAGTTGCTGAGAAATTTTTTTGGTTGAAACTGAATTTGACCTATCATATATGTATATATATGCATGATAGCTACTCCCTAGGCACACTGGCTAGATGGCATCATCTGTTTTTTCGTGAAAATCTTGGGCAAAAGCTGTTAGTTAACATGGACTTCACAATCCCTATACTTGGTAATTTTGCAGTGGAAATTCTCTCTTTTCCATATATATATATATATGTGTGTGTAGTCGCGCGCATTTTAGGCTAAAGCTTTGTGTTACTGAGTAGGGGTGTACTCGAGCCGAGTCGAACTTGAGTATTGCTATACTCAAGCTCGACTCAGCCTATAATATAATTATACTCGAGCTCGATCGAGTCGGAGAATCTCAACTCGAGCTTGACTCGAGGAAATCTTTAAAAGCTCGAGACTCGACTCGATAAGGCTCGACTTTGAGTCAAGCTTATCGAGTTGAGTAAATTGATCAATCGAGCTTTTTGATTAATCTTGTAAATTCAGTATAAATTATACCCATAACGGTCATTTTATAATTATAATACATATATATTATTTAAATTATATATATATATTGTTTAAATTATACTACTCAACGAGTAGCTCGTCAAGCCATGAACTGTAAAAATTCGAGTTCGAACTCGACTTGAATGTATACTCGAGTAACTTGAGACTCAGCTCGAACTCGGTTTGACCGAGTTCGAGCCAAGTCATTGACTGAGTTGCAAGCGAGCCGAGCTAGTTACGAGATAACATGGCGCTTCAGAAGTTCTTTTACTTGGATTCATGCACAATATAAGTATTTTTTTTTTCCGATTTAGATCACAAGGGAAGGATGCATTGAGGATAAAATGTTACATTTAGACGCAATGATAAAAGGATGCAAATGATAGCTTAACCAATTATTCGAGTTCTAGAGATAAAATCTTGTTCAAATTACTTAAAAAGAAAAGATTTTTCTAAAATTAGTTGTTAAATCAAGACTTTATAAAATTTAGTACATGTTACCTTTTTAGTCTCACTCAATCTTATAGTGATAAGTACAAAATCTAAGTCATAAAAGCATCAACCTACTCAAATTTGGCTTAATAATGTTCATCTTAAAGCCTTTGCATCTAACTAAGCCACAAACTTAAACATTCATTTCAAAATTATTTAAAATTAGAACTAAACTTCAACATAAATAGGATTTTTTCCCTAATGGTAGCAATATTAGCGCATCACTTTTGTTACTGACGCTCCACAATTTTTTACATGTTAAAAAATGGTCAAGAATATGTCATTCTTATATGTCATCATTTGAGAACTGACTTATACATATTTTCTTAAAATTAAAGGAATTTGAAAAATATAATAATGTATGTATCACTAGGATTCCATTTGGTGTTGCAGTACTTTTGGCGAAAAGATGGCGGTCATTATTTGTTAGATTTAGGAGTAGAATTTTTTATCTTTAAAGCACTTCTAACATAAATTCAAAATTAGTGCTTTTAGAATACATTTTATATTTTTACAAATAAAAATAACTTTCAACCATTTTATCATAACTTTGAATTGAATAAAGAGATAAGTATATTTCAAACACTTAAAACTAAACATTGTGAAACACAAACTACACTCTTGTAAGTATGTATCCAAAATATAATTAAGCTAATGATACCTAATTAATCAAATGCTACAAACAAGTGAATCTAACGTCCCCCAAATAACAATAGCTGAATCTTGTTCCATGAATTCTTTTGGGTTGAAAAGTAAAAGAAAAACAAATTGTCTACAAATTCTTATCTCTCAAAGATTTTGAGGGTTATTATAAACATATTGTATCGTCTGGCATATGCAA